TGTGCCCCTTCTCCAAGGTCACGTTACGCTCAAACGGCTTTGGATTGTCTCCAATGGCTTGTAGTATTTGCTGCACCCGGTCGTAAGATGAAACAGGGTATAGGATGCGCTCGTAATTGCCTTCCAGCATGCTTTGATGGCGAGTGCACGCCTGAGGTTCACGAGACGCCGGAGCGATATCAAAGGCAAGAACTTTGCCCTGCAAGTGGGACCACTGAAACTTCTCCCTAGCGTTTTCCCCTCCTGATGTACAAAAACTTGAAACACAAGAGCACGGCACATATATAGAAATAAACATTATTTAACAGAATGTTATCGCGCAAACGAGCAGGTGAATATTAAACATGATGAACTATAACCTTGAGACTAGGGAGAAAGACGACGATGAAGGAAAGGAAGAAAAGAGCCTCGAAATTCAACGATTTCTGGAACGCAAATTGTTAAGGTGTTTGTTGCGAGACGTGCCATTTCAGAAGAACTGAAGAGAGCGCGTGCACAGCTGTGATTGGCGGTCAAAGTGTCACACTCTCCGTAAATGTCTGTTTCAATGTGAGGCTTCATTGGCACGGAACGAAATTTTAGCCAATGCTATTTTTAGAGTCTGTGCGCATGACGTTGGCTTTGTTTGCTTCTCGCAGCAACGCACATGTGCGTGCTAGGTTGTGATATTTTAATGACATGCTTATATCTGTGCTTATACGTAACTCCAATGCTGATCGCAAGTTTCCTTTAAATTGACGTTTAAGACCTCAGTGAATTTTGATTTTAGCCTACGTGCCAGCCGTGGCGCAATTATTAAATCTGAGAAATCAGTATTCGTATATTGGTATTCTTATTTACACCTGGAGTTAGTCGCCACAGAAGGCATCAAGTAAGTCAAGTATCCGCATCCAGGCGGTTGAATTTGAGAGCTGTTCGCACATCTCGCTTTCGCAGCTCTGACTAGAGGACCATGATTGCGGAGTCCACCTGTTAAGTAACGAAGGATTCTGTTAGAAATAAGTAAGATTTGTTTTAGAAAAGTCTATCTTTCTACAGTTGCGTCGGCATCGTTTTATATTTTTTTTTTAGCTTTCTTTGTGAGTGTCGGCGTTTTGGAGGGAGCATTTGCGGGGGGCAGAGCGGCCGGGAGTGGGGAGCGGCTTCCCCGCGGTCGTTAAGAAACGTCTCGGGTTTCGGTAGTCTGCTCGGACAGATCCCTTCTTGCAGCTGGTTGTGGCTTTTAGCCAAATGTGCTTGTATATAGAGGGTTTCGCCGCTTAGTGTAAAATTGTCGCTTTTTGCCCGATGCAATAACTTAGCGGTTGGCGCCAGTCAGACTGGAAAAATTGCAGAGAACAACCCTACAAGGAATTTAGGTTTGGCCGTTACAGCGACAGGATGACAGCTCGCCGACCATTGGACGACAGTGTACCACGTGGGAGTGGTGAAATTTGAAGTGATTGGTCCATCTCTGGAGAGAAAGGAGGCATCTACGAGGCTAGAAAAGGGCTGCCGAGAGGGTTCTCGGGGGGGATTCGGCTCTTGAGACTGGGGACTAAAGTACGGGTTTTAATTTTGGAAGTTTTGTATATTACCGTTGACTTGTCGTTTTGTTTTGAAAATAAACGTGGCCACACTGGCCACCGTAAACCTACCAACGTCGTAATGTGTCCAGCGGGATCGAACAACTTTTAGTTGTTTTTTTTCGTATTCGACTTCCCGGGGGGCTACCATCGGGCGAACACCATCATCAATCGTCACCATCTTGACCGGGCCCCTTCCCCCTCGGAAAGTTGACTCCACCACCTGTCACTCTCGATTTAAACAATGTTTTTGCAGTGTGGTTCACACATGAAGCAGTTCAAGCTGTCTCAGGCGAGCAAACAACTTACAAGAGCGCCACCCATAGTTTAGAAGCGTCGCTCAAGTGAATGTAATCATGCTCTGTGTATGTGACAGCGGGAGGTTAGTCGGTTTCATTGCTTCGTTTCCCTGGCAATCGGTTCATCAACACGCAATGTTTCATCTACAGCTCAGATTAGCTTTTTTTCTGTAATAAGCTGTATCAGATTAACTCGCTGTGAAGCAGCGTGTACGGGTCAGTTAGGTGGGTTAACATTTTTGTAATGAGCTGCCGCAGGCTGTCACCGCAAAGCGGCGTGATCGCAGGAGGGAGCGTGGGATAATAAACCCAGGAGAGCCGCGGCACCGCAGAAAGGCAACAGCCCATACCATGGAGGCCCATGGTGCCGAGTCTAGTGATGATATACACCAACTCAACTCTCCTACGTCACGCCGCGGTGGTGGCGCGCCGGACGCACTTCCGGTCTGGGGCGGTGGGCAGAAGTCGCCGTGCCAGACATGCATTCCTGTGTTCCTTTGGAAGGAACGAGACAAAAAACCTGCCTTCTCGTCAAGATGCTGCGATGGGGGCTTTACAAAGAGAGTCTGGGAAGGTTTGAAGATCAGTTTTCATGTGTTTTTGCACCCTCCGTTCGTCCGAGAACGTCGATAGCAGCCGTGAAAAGGGCAAACCTGACGCTGTCGAACTACGATTGCGTGTGCGGCCCACACTTTGTAGTCGCCAGATGTATTTGCTTTGTTCCAACATGACCGAGAGAAAACCCCCAAGTTGTCCGGACCACCCACGGATTCAGTGCGTCTTCAAATTCACACGGCCGCCTGATCGTTCGAACTTTCGTCTGCTCTCTCAAAGTTGTCTGCTTTTTGTCGTCTGCTCGTTCAAACAAAAGCGGCCCGTAGACCAAACTTTGACCCAGTGATTGCAATAAGAAGTAATTGCAGGCCTCAAAAGACTTAAGTAGGCTCGGTGTAAGCAGTAGATACAAGATGTTGATCATTGGTACCGGTGGCCATCACCTACTTGTTACGCTTTGTCTGTTCCCGCTTCCGATTTTCAGTATCGACGTCGATCATCGCCGCTACCTTCTACACTTTTGCAGCACGAGGGTCGTCGCGACCGAAAATAGCTAGAAGAGTCTCATCATGGTTTTGTATGTCCATTCTGCGGCGGTCATGCAAATACATCGCCGCACGTCAAATTATTTATGCAAAGTTTAGCAGCGTAACGAGCCTTGATGATTTCGCTCAGGCGATTAAAGTGGTAAGACATTGCGATGAGGACGTAGAATCGACAACTCCAACGCGAAAAAGAGTATGCAGACTCACACAGACGCCGACAGCGTGACATTCGAATGGTTTGTTGACGCGGGACGCGGTGCTTCTTGCCCGTACTCCATTGCGCGTGCGTTCCAACTGTCGTCTGCTCTTTCAAACTTGGCTGCTTTTTGTCGTCAGTTCGTTCAAACGACAGCGGCTCGTAAACCAAACATTGACCCGGTAATTGCGATAAGAACTAAGTGCAGGCCTCAAAACACTTTTGAAGGTTGGTTGGGGTAAGTCGGCTAAGTGTAAACAGATACAAGAAGTTGTTGATCATTGTTGCCAGTGGCCATCACCGACTTGTAATGCCCGATTCTACTTGAGGTTTTCAGTATCGATGTCCACCATCTCAGCTACGGTCCACGCTTTTGCAGTCCGAGCGACGTCGCGACTGAAAATAGCGAGCAGAATCTCGACGTGGGAGTCAGGCTTTAGCGCCCATTCTGCGGCGTCCACGTGAAATGAATCGCCGCAAGTCACATTATTCACTCAAAGTTTTGCCTCGATAGTTTTGCTGAAGCCGCTCAAGTAGTCAGACATTGTTAGGAGGACGTAGAATCAACAATTCCAACGCGAAAAAGAGCACGGGGACTCCCACCGACGCCGACAACAACGCAATTCAATGGTTTGTTTATAGGCGACGGCGGGCTTCTTGCCCACCATCCACGGCGCATGCGCGGCGCCGGTGACGTCCGCTAGGGGCGCTCCGGTTTGTTTGTAAACAAACCGGAGCTACCGCCCGATCCAAAGGGCTCAGCCGTATTCATCCATCCATCCATCCAAACATGAGTTGGTGTATAAGTAGGATTCCGTGTTTTCTGAATTTTTTTTTTTTTTTTTTAATTGGAATTATTTTTTTTACAAGTTAATTTTTTTTTTTTTTTTACAGATTTGGTGTTTTTTGTGTACAGTGGTTATGATTGAAACCAATTTAAACAAAAACACCGCATCTAAGAAAAATGAAACTGTGAGAAAAAAAAAGGCTCCGAAAACACGGAACGCTAGTACATATAATATACAGTGATACACACGTGATGAAATGTCCCTACAGCGTGCAATTCGCGTAATGAGTGTCGATGAAACGATCGTGTCGTCGAAACGTGTGTCCATGAAAAGTTGTCCACGAAACGAGTTTCGACGAAACGACTGCTAGCCTAGCAGCGATACACGACTGCGTTCTGTGCCGCGCAAGCTACCCGTGCCCCCGTGTCCCTAGCTGCGGTGTGCTAACACACTCGGCCAGCGGAGTATGTACGATCTCTATGGCCAGCGGCGACCCGCCCTCTCTCTCTCCAGAGTCAAGACAACATGGACAACAGCAACCTCACAAGAAATGCTCATGCTCTCTCTGAAAGAGCCTGTATTACAGAGTGTGTCCAGCTTTGTCTGTTGGGGAGGCGGGCGCGGGGAGAGGGGAAAACGCTCCCCATGGTATGAGATGGACCCTCTCTTCAATCTAGGCTCTCTGCGCGCCTATGCCGAGTGTCGATTACGCGAAATTAGAGATGCATACACGCTTGTACGTAATTTTACAACTGTTTCTACATGTAAAACTTTATTGTTTTAAAATATAAAGTTATTTTCGGAATTAAAAAGTTTTATTTTATTATGTAGGCATCCGATGTCCAAAGGGGGCGCAGCGGTCTGGTTCCTCTTTTTGTTTTCTCCTATTTTTTTTTTTTTTTTTTCTGTTTGCAAGGTTTTGAAGCAGTCCAGTTGGTCCAGTGCACAAGTGGTACAGGCAGTACAGGTCCAAACTGTCCATTGTCTTTTTGGAAAGTGATTGCGGTAATCTGCCTTCTTCAGCGAACCGCTGTAGTTTATAAGCATTCAGATAGCACTTTCAACGTTAACGCTGAAGCTGTGGCGCCGGGCACCAACCCTCGAACCCTGCGTGAGTATGTGCACGTTTCTTATTTTGTTGCTGGTGCTTGTTTTTCGGCGGGATGCAACACGCGGGTCCTAGGCCTACTTCTTGCGTGATTATTCGAAAGGACTGCATACACCGGTTTCGTAATAGATTCAGTTCTAATTGACCTCAGAGTATTATATATATCTTTTAAATTAAATATCGAAGGATGAGTTTGTCTGTCCACTTTATTCTCTCCCTTTTACTTTGTCTTCCCGTTTCTTTCCCTGTCTCAGGGTTGAAACAATGACTATTACGCAGCAGTTCACCTGCACTATTCTGTTTCATACTTAGCGTGCAACGCTGTCAAAGCTGCTGGCGCGAGCGCGTGGCTTCGTCAATGGTTTTGTTTGCGCGAGAACGCGTGCAAATGTTCAACGAGATCAAGCCCCAAGCTCGCGCCAGTAGCTTTGACAGCGTTGCACACTAAGTATAAAACAAAGTATAAATAAAAAAAAAAAAAAAAAACGCTGAAATGAAAACCATTTTAAAGCAAAGCTATGTTTTTTTTAACTACTACTTGGTGTGCGTGCGGCAATCAAACATCGCAATGGGCCACTGTTTTATTTTTTTTTTTTTTTACCTACTTTGAGTGCAGCCATTAAATGGCATGATGAGCCACTCTGGCGTTTATTTTGGCAAAAGAAAGATGAGAGAGATGAGAGAGAAGCTTGTCTTGTTTCCTTTCTTCTGGATCTATTCTGCTATAATATGGCCCACAACTCTGTTTGATTTCGCAGAAAAAAGCTTAGTTGAACGTTTGTCCCTAGGAAAAAATTTCATCTTATTTTTCTTTTGACCCAGGTGAGCTAATATTTTAAAACTCTTAAAGGGATGCTGAACAGAAATCTGGATTCCACAAAGCACGACGGCAAAAGTGTGCAACGGGATGCTACAAACACCAAAACATCACTAATAAGCGATATATAAAATGGATGACAGTGTTTTTCAAAAAAAAAAAGGGAGGTGCATTTGACATATATGTTCACGTCTTGTTTCTTCGAGAGGAGCCAAGAAGGAGAGGGAACGGCCTCGCGCCTTGTCCGCCTCGCCGCCTTGAGGGGGCGAAACAAAGAGAGGAGGAAACGAGATATCTTGACCTCACGCGCCTCGTCGGCCTTGTTAAATCTCTACCTTTTTTTCCCCAAAAGTATGGCCGTTGATTCGGTATATCACCTTACGAGTGGTGTTGTAGGAATTGTAGCGTCCCGCCTGCAGCTCCTGCATTGTTTTCTGAAATCCAAATTTTGGTTCACGATCTCTTTGATTGAGAAATGTGCCATTTATCAGTGTCTTTGTAGTACATCATTGCATGATACATGGAGATTCCAATTTATGTGGCCCCTTTGACGAGCCACACTTTTATCGAGGTCTCACTGTAAATTGTAAAGATCAATCTTGCTGCAACATTGTAATTTACACTGAAAGTGAAGCTCTGTGATGCATTTGTTTGGTGCAAGCAACCTTTGCATACACCTTTTGTTCAGCTTGTCTCTTGTTTTGTGCCAGCAACCTTGACATACAACTTTTGTTCAACTTGTCTCGTCCTTGCTTTTGTTTCGGTGCCTATTCTATTCGCAACTCCAACACACTGTAGACGGCGGGGCAATAGTTCAAAGATGGCCAAACAGACAGGAATAAATTTTCCAGGACTTCCTTTGCACCTGCTCGCTGATCAGCGAGCCAAACTACAGTTATTCGGCTACAAATCCGAAGCGGTCAGAGCAGGAGCCTACCACAGGTGGAGATGTTGACACACATCAAGAAAAATCAGAATATTGATTTTTAAAAAATTGCCAAGCCAAGCTCAACAGTTTCTATATTAAGACTCATGTTTTCCGGTAAATATGGCGTGTTCGTATGTTGGTGCATGATGGACCAACATGCCGACAGTCTCTGCCACCATCTCTGCTGTCGTCCCTGCTCCTCTGGTTCTTATAGCGAGTTTGTTTCACACGCATTGGCACTGTTTGAGTTCTCTTCCAAAATGCATCGCACTCGCGGAGTGTTGCATGGAGAACTGACCTCAAACAAACTTGCCAATTGCACCGAGTGCAGAAGACTGATGCTGTCGCCATCTACAGGGTGATTCAAGGAGAGGCCAGGCTCTTTAAATCGACCGCACAATTCGGTTTCTTAACCTATCTTGCTACGACTTTGTGCAGCGTTGCCCACAGATGGTGCATTGCCACCAGTCTTCAAACAACACGGTGGCGTTTTGCACGGGAGACAAGAGATGGCGCAAGCGGTTGCGACGCCAACTGCCGCCAACGAACGAGCATAGACGCCGAGAGCCGGCATCTTTAGCAGACAAGGAACTGCAGTTCCTTGTTGTTACCGCACCTGTTTTTGTTTCTGCGACTGTCGCCGCCTGCGGAACGTGCGCCGCTTTTGAGTCAAAAAGATTGTCTGCTAAAGACGCCAGCTCTCGGCGCCGTAGGCTCGTTCGTTGCGCCATCTCTTGTCTCCCGTGCGAAACGGCGCCGTGTTGTTTGAAGACTGGTGGCGTCGCTGCATTTCCATAGGAGCTAAGCCTTTTTCTTTCTTTACTTTTTCCTCGGGTAAATTCGCTTTTTGCAAATTTTACAAAAAAAATGCACCATCTGTGGGCAACGCTGCACAAAGTCGTAGCGCGATATGTTAAGAAACCGAATTTTGTGGTCGATTTAAAGAGCCTGGCCTCTCCTTGAATCACCCTGTATGTTGTAGAGGGAGTAAAGGCTTCAAACCGAAACTAGCGTCTTTCTGTTCGACGTGATGAATGGGAATGCGAGAGTGCATTCGCTGCCAACGTTTTTATGTAAACGTTGGTGGCTGTAACCTGTAGTTTACATATGCGATGACTTCGAGCAACTCGGCTAACAGCCGGCGTAAATTTCCGCAATCAGCGAACAACTACAAAGCAGCTGGTTGCAATCTTTCAATTCTTATAACTGTTTATACTGGAGAAAACTGATCATGCTGTCTGCGCAGAAGCTTGGTTCGTTTTAGCATGCTATTATGCATGAACCACTGAAAGGGTACGGCTTAAAACTAGTCTGTTGGAATATCCAGCAAAACATTTGGTGGGACATTCGATCTCGATCGTCGGTACAGGTGGATCAGATATTAGCCTTGTCGAAAACTTTCCCAAACATAATACGCCGGGGCAAGATAGCTAACTTAAGTAAATGTTAAAGGTGATGTTGCCCAAGCCTCGGGTAAAGTCGCTATGTTTAGCTTTCTCGGATGCTTCTTAGGCAGACAGGTTTCTGCTGAGATAGCTTTGTCGACAAATGTTTCATTTTTCACCCGCATATGGATGGTGATAAAGATATCGGGGGCCGCTGATGCGTTTGTTTGTTCTGAGCATTTCTTTACACACCGGTATATTTCAGCATCTGTACGGCAACAGGGCGACTAAAAACTTGTAAATAAAGCACGGGTTGTCAATTGCTTCCTTTATGAAACAGCAGACGCTCACAATTCAAGCTCACGTTTGATTCCGTTGCCTGCAGGACACGATTTCTATCAGAAAATCTACTTTTTTTTTCCTTTCGGTTTTGCTGCACAAATGACACATCGTAGCAGACAAACCCTCGCCGGAGCGAGGCATGACAGAATTGCATTTCGGTGCAGCGAGTGCATGCACGCGTGGGGTGTCGCCGCTGAAACAAACTCGGGAGAGTGCAACCACTCGTGAAGTGCCGGCCAAAAAGAACTCGCTCCACGCTGCGAGTGGGCACGCGTGGACACGAGTGCTGTGAAACGAACTCGCTATTAGTTTGTATGCGAGACGACCGTCAAGCTGGAGTTGGGAATAAACCATTTGCTATATTACCCAAGCGCCCCGGCCCGCACTCGAGGAATCATGGGAATGGTGTTCCCTAGTGATCGGTAATTTTGACCAATTCGATGCTTACATAATTTTTTTAGTGTAATCCGCTCATTCTGGGTAAGCATCGTGTAGATTGCAAAGATCTCTCATATCACTTCTAAAATTTCTCGTCGGTATTCATTACACTATGCATCCAATCTTCCCTTCAACCTGGCTGAGCTACAGAAATCTCTTACAATATAACCATTCTCGTGAATAGTTGTTTTAGCAGGATAGCTTAAAATGCAAAGAAAATACAACGACCAAAACCAGGATTTAGCTCAGAGTCAGCGGGGTTATTTATAGCATTTTGAGCATTCCTAAGTTAATATGAGCTTCTTGAGCTATATGAGAATGATAACACTAAGAGATTCTTGCAGCTCAGCCAGGTCGAGGGGGTTGATGGGGCAAGCACAGTGGAAAAACGCTGGCATTGCCGATAAATTTTAAGTGACAGGTTAGGTCTCTGCAATCTACATGACTCTTATTCAGGAGGACTTCAGATTACACTCAAAACAGGTGCTCATCGAAGTGGTCGAAATTTTCTATCACTAGGTAAACTGAAGAAACACTTTGCTTGAAGTGACGCATTATGAGAAATAATGTTCGACCACCACTGGTGTTGGCAAAGTCACAATTAACAGCAGGTGTTTTGTATGGTTAGCTGCTTTGTCGCAAGTTTAAATACAAGCAAATAATGAAGATAACTTGTTCAGATAGGTATTTACTTGCGTCCAGAATTTCTTATCTGCTCTGCAGAAAGAAAAGGTTAAAACACCATAAGTTTAGGACATCATGTATTTGTAATGCCCTCATCTTCGAAGGAAGCTCTCCAGAATTTGGGGTGTTTTGCTATTCTGGATTCCAGTACCATTATCATAGGATGTGTGAGCTAGCAAACATTGACCCCTTTCAAACTGCTGCTTCTGCATACAGGATGGTCAAGCCCTTCGCAGTAGTGAAGTTCCCTGAAGAGAAGGACAGTCTCGCAGCTGTGCCAGTCGGATGGCTGTCGGAGGACGAGTTGTTTTGCACTTGGCCCATGCACGTGAAAGGGTGCCAACTCATAAGCCTGGTTGAAGCGCAGGCTCCACCTGGCGTTGTCGGCAAAGGCTGGGAGGTCTTCCCTGTCATTGTAATTAAGACCTACTGTAAGTAATTTGTTTACAGACCCATTGCCTTTTCCTTTTTTTTTTTTTTTTTTGAGGTGTGTGATTGTGGGTCATTATTTTTCCAGAAGAGAATCTAAACATCAAGCACATGATACTGTCAATGGGACCTAAAATACTTTTTAGTAAGTTTTAAAGTGATTTTAAACATTTTTTAGGCATTTCTAAGGTGTAAAGTTTTGAAAGTTCTTGGTCAAGCTCGGGTACTCAATACCGTCGAAACCAAAAGAGAAAACACATGTGTCCTATTATTTTTTTTTCTCCAGATTCGGGTTTTTATGTTTAAAGGTCATCAGTTTGCCTGATTCCTATGTTATTTATATCACATACTCAGTTTGTATTTTTCTTTATAACCTGTACTGGTGTGCAGGCAGAGTTGTATGAAACAATTTCGCTTGGTAGCTAATTTGAGAAAATATGCCGTTATCTGCAGCTACTAGGTTTGAAAGCTGCAACTATATTTTATTCTCTGCTAGAAAGATGTGAATGCTTGCAGACAAACTTCATTGGCTCCTGAATAACTGTTTCAAGCTACGGCATATTGCAAGAATGGTCCAGAAGCCAGTACTCGTTATGATAAAACAAACTACACTGACGAGTGCAGTGGAGACACAGGCAGCTAGCTTTGTTTCTACATACTAATCCTTCGAATTAAAGCTCGGCGTTTTGACGTCCCCTCACGCTCTCGCCTCCTCCTCTCCCTCACCTTCTCAGCACATACACAAGTCCATTTTTCTCTAGCAAAAAGAAAAAAAAAATTTGTCATGTAATGTATACACCAATTCAGCTTCCCCGCTAAATTTAGTAGGAATTTAACATTGTGTAGCACCGATTGCATATCGGTGCAGTCACGAGGTGTAGTTTGCTCCCAATAGACAAATTTGGATAACGTATCTGAAACTTGAACAATTAAAACAATTAACTATCGAGAGTATGCATAAAAATATCCGATAAAGAGCACCGTGAGTGTATTGCTAAACGTTTGTGATGCTGGAACGTTTCACACACGCGTGACAGAATTTGCTATCCAAATCTGTTATGTAAAGTCAGCGTAGTTTGTTTATCAACTCAGTTATTTTTTTCCGCTGAAATGTGTCTTGCAGAACTATATTCAGCTGAAATTCTTCAATTTCAGTCTCCATACTTCAAACACAAATTTTATTTACAGGGACCTACAAAAAGGCTGCCAAGAAAGTTCGCCAGTACGTCTGGACCTCCACCGTAGAGACGTCAGATTTTTCGGGTGATTACTGAGTTCCAAGGCTTTGTGAAAATACCTTGGGGTAAAATAATGGGATGTTCTGATACATTGTTTTTTTTTCCTAGCAAATGAGGCCTTGCCGGGAGTGGAAGCAGTCGAATCGCATCCCCCCCTCAGAATGCCTTCACCACGTAAGCATTCAGTTATAGTAACCATTATCTGTATTTAAATGATAGGCTGTGTACAGTATTATTCACACTTCTTCAGTGAACAACATGCTTTGGGCATTTACGTGGCTTGTGGCAAGTAATAAGCTTCTGAATGGCTCTCTGCCATTCAGAAGCTCATTGGAGGTGCTGGGTATTTGAGAGGTGAAATCTGTTAGTTACTTTCAGTCTCAATGACCTATGAAATGTAGTTCTCTCAGGATATCTTTATGATAGATATTAGGGTACCTCTCTAAAAATATAATGTTACTATTAATATTTCTTAGGTTGAGGCGCTCTGCATGGTTCAAACTAGGCAGCTTTGCTAGCCATCCACCTCAATAAAATTTTATTAAGTAAATTATAAATCACCTATGCAAACAATGTAATTGGTGTGCTGATAAACCATTGTAGTGCCTAACCATGTTTGCTTGGTGTGGACACTGTCTTTATGCTATTCAGCTGCATTGAGCTCCCGCTCGGTGGGGGGTCAGCACAAGACCAGCCAGGCAGGCAGACGCCAACCTCAGCTGCAACCTCAGCACAGCCAGGAGGAAAATGAGGGGGTCACCTGTGAGTCTGCTTGTAATTTTAAACATTCAGAGTTGAACAACTTGAAGATTGCATCAACAGAGCCGTAGTAAGACTGTCTTAATGCTATTCAGCTGCATCAAGTTCCCATTCGTCAGCCATAGGTTACGAGGATGACCTGGCAGAGACCCTGCAAGCGCAGGAAGTGAACCAGCCCCAGGACAACCAGGAGGCCAGTGAGGATCCCAGTCGTAAGAATTTATAAGTTTATACTTTTTAACATTCAGAGCTGAACTTAAAAGTTGCACCCGTTTGCTAGTGCGTGTATTTATGCTGTTGTGAATGGTGTCCTGGAAACAGATTGGGATAAGGTGTAACTAGAAGATAGCTTTGTTTTGTTGTTACATAAAAAAGCTTGAACTTGACCTTTAGAAAAAAAATTTTCAACAATGTGAAAAAAAAAATATTGGTATCATCTTTCGGGAATTTCTGGGAAATTGGAATTTACTAGTTTTTGTTGAAGTACTTGGACATTGCTGAAGGGCTCAAAATATTAATGGGGTAAAAAAAAAAATGTATCTGCCAGTTAAATTTTCTTATATTCATGTAAAGTACACATGCAACAAAAGCAAAGGGAATTTTTTTTTTTTTTAACTTGGATGGGAAAAGTTGTAAAACAAATTTACAATGAACAAAAAAGCTTTTTAGAGCTATATTTACGAAGCGAAACGAATTTGTAGTTGGCGCCCGTGGAAAAGTCGTCGCTATTTATCATGTGATTTGCCGCTATTTATCACATGGTGCTTGTGCTCTTTCGGAAGCTTCCTATTGTCTCTAAAAGTCACTTATTCATCTTCGTTTGAAGTGCAACAAAAAAAAAAAGATTAATAAGAACTTCTAGAGCTCAAAGGAAGCTCCTGAAAGAGCGCAAGCACCACGTAATACTGTGCTGTAATCAGAAATCGATGGCGGCGGCACGCCGAAGTCTTCCCTTCTGGCGGTGGCGCGGAGACACTCATTCAACTGGTGGTGCAGCACACTTGGTGTGCAGCGGCAGCACACAGGTCTACTAGTGACCAGCGGCGGCTCCCGCGAGTGCACTCTACAAATTAGTTTCGCACCGAAAATATAGCTATAGAACTTTTTTTCTTCGTTGTAAATTTGTTTTCTGACACTTTTTCGATCTATGCTGTTTAAAAACAAATTTATTTTCCTTTGCATGTGTCCTTTAAACAACAAAGCATTTATTCTCAAGCATTGAAGGGAAAATGTTGTAATAAGGTGGTGAACTGGGCCAGTTGGTTGACGTTATACGTGATAGGGAAAACGACTCAGAAAACACGGACTATGAAGAGGAACAGACACGACAGGACAATGCTGTACTCTCAACTGAAGAATTTTAATAAAGGAAACAAAGACAGAAAAAAACATACACATCATCTTAAAAGATTTCACAAAACCAAAAGACCACTCTCGCCAACCATGAAGCGTGTCAATAAACTACCCGTTCACTACGTGACCCATTTTTTGCCGCAGGAAGGAAATCTTTTGGCTCATAGCGCCAATGACGGTTTGCTAAAACATGAATGAACATGACACAAAATGTGGAAGGCCTCAATGTTCTCTCTCGTCGCCCTATCCTTGTGCGCGCCCAGAACGGTGACTCTGCCAAAGTCAGGCAGACACTTGCACTCTGCAATGAATGGGCAAAGGCCCCCCAGCCGTAGCTCCGAGCGAATATGAATGCTCTCGTAATCTGTCATTCAGACATCTTCCTGTTTGCCCCACGTAGCACCTGTTACATGACAAAGGTATCTTATATACCACACACGAAACACAAGTGACAAACGGTTTTCTGTGCGCCTTGGTGCACTTTGCGCTGGAACGACCAACTACCCCCGCACCAATCCTGGAACATATCTGGCCCATTTTTTGGGGCGCCGAAAACACTACCACACGCTTCTTTTCCCTTTCCGGCCCCGTCCTCTCCACCCCCTTAGCTTTCTTAAGAGCACCAAGGCGCACAGAAAACCTTTTGTCACTTGTACGTGCTTCACAGGCACGTAGCCAGGATTTTGTTTTTGCCCGTGACAAGATGCTGTATGAGGGGGAGGGGGGAGAGGAGGTCCCAGCAAAATGGAAGATTTCGGGGGGGGGGTCCAGGCCTTATGGACCCCCCCCCCCGGCTACGTGCCTAGTGTTTCGTGTGTGGTATATAAGATACCTTTGTCATGTAACAGGTGCTATGTGGGGCAAACAGGAAGATGTCTGAATGATAAATTACGAAAGCATTCATATTCGCTCAGAGCTATGGCTGGGGGGCCTTTGCCCATTCATTGCATCGTGCAAGTGTCGGCCTGACTTTGGCGGAGTCACCGTTCTGGGCGCGCACAAGGATAGGGTGGCGAGAGAGATCATTGAGGCCTTCCACATTTTGTGTCATGGTCATTCATGTGTTAGCGAACCGTCATTGGCGCTGTGAGCCAAAGAGATTTCTTTCCTGCGGCAAAAAATGAGTCACGTAGTGAACGGGTAGTTTATTGACACGCTTCACGGTTGGCGAGACTGTTTTTTTGTTTTTGTGCAATCTTTTAAGATACTGTGTATGTTTTTTTCTGTCTTTGTTTCCTTTATTAAAATTCTTCAGTTGCGAGTACAGCATTGTCCTGTCGTGTCTGTTCCTCTTCGTAGTCCGTGTTTTGTGAGCTGTTTTCCCTATCATGAACATATTGCTTCTGCATTTTATAAATAGTGTTCTTAGGACCGTGTCAAATGATCACGCGACACCCTAAGCAGCATGAGGAACAGAGCGTCACGGTAGCTATGCAAAAAAGTTGAAACAATGTTCAGCTTTATTTATTTTCAAATAATAAATTGAGAGATAAAAATATTGAGTTATTTATCGGTATTCATGTTTGTTGTACACTACTACATCACTGGACTGGAATATACCTCCTGTCGTTTTGTAACCATTGCAGCCGTGCTGCGTGTCCCGCCACAGCTCGCATTCATTGCGAGATGAGGTTGTGGAACCTTATCATGAAATAGAATTGTACAAAAACATAAAAGTGAAGCAATAAAAAAAAAAATTATATTCCCAACAAGATTTAAATTTAGGACTTCACAAAATCATCATCACTGAGGGACATCCGCGCACAGCCTCTTGGCTATTAGCACATCCGTTTTGGACCATTTATTTTCGTTGTGTAGTTTTAAGTTGGATGTTATACTTTCCCCGTGACTAGTTCCTTAGCAGTAACTTGACATGCTGATTCTCTAGTACGCTAAGGCGATTAATTTCGCTTCTATTTGCAGCATTTGTGTCCTTGTTCTGCTAGCGGATCAGCAATTTGTCCGGTTAAAGCGAAAACATGTTCACAGCTTGCAATTAGTTTATCGGGGTGTAATAGGCGACGCTAGAGCTCTGTGAGGTCAGCGATCTTACAATGACCTTAGCATAATATCAGACGTCAGATTTCATCTGTTGACTTGTGTTAGAGTTGTGTTAGAGCCGCTGTTGGAGCGATATCTGACTCTCTGGCTTTGCCCATCTCGTTTGATCTGCATGGACATCTTGCGCAGGCAACAAAGAGGTTCTATTGGTTACCTACCATGCGGTACTTTTAGAACTGCGGGCCGGGAAACTGAAATAATCTTTTCTGTGCTACTAAATGAATGTGGGATATATAGATGACAAACATATAGCTCAGAATTCTGAAGAAGCAAAAATATTCCCGACCCCTCTAAGGGCATGCATATTGTCCAATGCACCTTTGGTGTTATCACTAACTTAAATTTTCTTCTTCAGTGGCTGCAGATCTTTTGTAAACAACCAGTACGAAAACATGTTTGACAGCCGCAAAATGTGTGCTCCATGCCACAGTCAGCTTCACGGTAATTGCTGTGATAAAACTACTGTGCCATAATGGCTCTGTTATCCCCTTCGAGTGTGAGAAAAAAACAATGTGGTTTTAGGAACGGAGATGAGCAGCATTTTCATAGATATCCAATGCAAATACCATGTCCCATGGACATTTTGTTGCATATCACGAAGTTGGGTCTCTGTTGTCCTTTATTTTGGACACATGAATTTCTTTGGTTACAAATTGCTGCATGGGAAAAAGTCTGCTGAAAATAAGTTTTAATAGAAGCACCCATAATAAATGAAAACATTCATCTATAGTTGCTGACAGTATTAGAGCAGGAGGAAGGCTCTTCAAATGTCCCAAATCCAATGCAAGCTTCCTACTTTCGATAATGCTTTGACGTCTCGCGAGTCTTGAGCGTGTACGCATAGCCAAAGCACACCTGAAGGTAGCGAACACTTGCTGGAGGCCGGGCATCTGAAAAAGATGCCATTCTTATCCTGTCAGTTAGAATAGTCGCTTAGCCAAGGTCTGGAGTGGGACAAGTAGTGGATTGATTAGGAAGCTGATTTAGGGCAGCTTGCTATACATTGAAGTCTCTCATGTCATTACTTTTATATTGTTTTTAACTATCTTCACTAAACAAATATAGGACCTGTAAATGTAGGTTACCAGCTGTATGCTGACAGGTTCAAGAGAAGTCTGAATGAAAATGTGCAAAGAGCTTGACATGAAAGTATTCTGTTCCAGGTGTCCAGCTGAAAATGATACACCTTTTGGTCGAAATTCGACAACAGAATAGGGACATCCTGCATCAGTTTTCACAGCTGAGGCAGGATGTCCTCGACATCTCTGAGAGGGTGGCCTTGCTGGAGGCACCGGCAGCTCAGGCAGCACGAGCCCCACAGGTCCTGCCCCTGATTCTCCCAAGGCTGCCAGCTGAAAGCCTTCAGGAGTTGGAGGCAGCAGAGGCAGCAGTCAAGGAGAAGGGTGTAGCCAAAGCCTTGGTAGTTATTGCCTTTTATATTTTAGGTTGCCCATATCAGTGTGTCCTTATTTATTCTTTTTTAATGCTACACTGTCGTGGAAAAGGCAGTGGTAACAGAGAATGTATTATATGTGTCACTGCGTGGTGATGTTGCACAGACGAGCTTAGTACACATTTTACAACTTCATGGCATGAACATCATCATACAAAGCCTTTCTGAAAGAATGTCCTGCCAAAGTTAGTGCTCCAGCTGCAGAGGAATGTGCGGTATGTGTGTCTAGCCGTCACACACCCCAGTGTTGTCCCTACTATTTCTTAACCCCATTTTATTCGAGGCATGTGCTTGTTCTCTTCCCATTTGCCTCCGGCACACACTCCCACGTGGACGATAAATGGATTGATGTTATACTCCTCTTCATCTTGCGACGTACTGAATGGATGCTACAAGACAAATCAATCTATAGTTTGTGGTGTGTCGAGGACTACAATTCCACCCAAATGTCGATGCAGCACTCGTGTGGTATTTTTTCACAGCAGGAGTGTGAAGCTGGAAGCTGCTAGGAGCCAACTTCGTAACGGGAAAACTGTTGTTTCTTAACCTTTTTAATGGGAGCAAGCTATATACCTAAGCAACTTTTTGTGGTAATGTACTGAAAGGAATAGGCATGTATGCTTGGCATTAAGGACGCCTATGTTGCGCACACGTGAATGATTTGGAGGATAAGTACAGGTATGTTCTCGTTGAGCTGAAGGTTGTTTCAAAGCTACACATCTGATGTATCTTTAGGTACATTTCACGTGGAACACTTAATTAGCGTTGTTTAAACATTTATGCAGAAGTGCTTTCTATCAAAGGAGTTACTGGGTAACTCCTCAGTTCCAAACGTATTTGAGATTAGGGGTAAATTATTGTAAACTACTAAATCCACTCACACAGTAATATGCGGCTCGGGCAGCATTTTTAGCATTAAAAAAGAGAAATTTAAATGCATTTCCCTGTTTCACTTTTATCGGAATGCAATCTTCCTCCCCGTGACCAAAATGTACAACATGCATGGTGCCGCCTCGCATCGCATGTGTCTAGATCAGGGGTGGCCAAGCTGCGGCTCGCAAGCAGCGTGTGGCTCGTGACCCCCTCCCTCCTGGTCACACGAGCACTTCCCCACAAAGAGAAATAGGACGCATTTTAAATTGAAAGACAGGTTGCAATTTGGTAATCTTGTGCTACTACTACCTTAAGTAGAATTGAGTTGCTTTTGTCCCTGATAGATTGAAAGTTGGGAGTTTTGTTTATTGTTCTGTACAAGACCCCCCACCCCAACCCCCACCCCAACCCCCACACAGTTCTTGGTAGTTTCGTGGTTTTGTTTACGGCTCTTTCCGCCGAATTCGCAAACCTCATTCCAATTGCGGTGCCCCTCCACTTCCTCTAGGAAGGCGCGAGGGCCGGTGTTGGCCAATCGCAAGGAGCCTAGGCCACCAATCCGTCGTCGCGATTGGCCAGCACCGGCCCTCGCGTCTTTTTTGAGGAATTGGAGGGGTGCCTCAATTGGAGGGAGGTTTGTGAATTCAGCGGTTAGGCCGGGTCAGCCTGGCCACCCCTGGTCTAGATAGAGCTTCCGGACTTCCGCTTGAGGCTTGCCTTGTTGATGTCAGTGCCCATCTGAACACGCACCTCTACGTGCGATGCATGGCAGTGCACGCATGTTGCACCATCATGCATCACAGATGATAAAAGAGAATCATGTGTTTTCTCATTGCTAGCCGTCCGCCTGCTGCACGAGTGGTAACTTTAGTGCACCCCACATGCTTCACACACGCTCAGCAAGTTTCCAATTGGAACCATATGTTTATTTTTAATAAAGGGTTATTATTTTTTTCATTCGTGTTTTTTATAATCCTTCACGTCCGCCGGCGGTTTGTTACCCAGTTTTTTTTTCTCAATCACCCTATTCATGGGGATTTTTAAGCATATTAGCAGGAACACCTAGCATAGTATTTGAATGAACCTTTGAAACCGTCTTTAAGAAACTGCCGAATTTCCGTCGTGGCTGAGTAACACAATATAAATATAAAACTAGCATTTATGGAATATGGATTTTAATTACTAATGAAATTAAAGAAGCTCCTTGAAGCACTTTCATGCTGCCAGCACCTGTGGCTAAATTGTTCAGGTTTTGGGAGTGTTTGCATCTTTGTTGCAGGTGTAGAATGAAACTATGCAGGTGGTACTAGAGAGCAATTTTAAATTAGTTTTTATTACAACATGGCACTTCTATACATAATTTGTGGTTTTATAGTCATTGTTTTGTTTTACAGCAAGATCAGCTGCAGAAGATTGGGGGCAGGAACCTTTCAGAGGTAACTGCTGGCATCATGAAGAGTATCATGGGTCATCCGGTCCAGGTGCTCTTCAGCCTCTACGGCCGCAAGGGCAAGAGGGCCTTTATCAATTTGGGCCTGTGCACCATCGCAATAGGTAATATTCAATTATTGAAATTCCTGGCTGCCCTACAAACTTCATTATGGAACCCCATAGTCACTGACAGGGCATGGCCTGATATATGCACCACTGCCCATCGAGCGTGATGCTGCACTCAACAAGCTTGACCACACCCTATTTCGATTGTACAAGCCCCATGCCGGTAGGATTAGGACATATGTTGCTTAAAATTGTACCCTGTACATATTAATATCTGTTCATTTTTATGACCTGTAAACAATACAAACCCAGAAAGGACAAATGTTAAATTACGGTGAGGGTGCAGGCGAGCTGGTGTATACATTACCATTTTGATGAATTACCCAAGACCGAGGCAGGAAACCTAGAAACATCCAACTGTGGAAAAAAGTGAAAAAGGTGACAGGAGGAACGTCCTCCTGTCACCTGTCATTTTGTTTTATGGTTAATGGAAAAAATAACCGTGGCAGATTGAAAACGGTGATGGAGCAAAGTCCTTTTGTCTCCTTTTTTAATCTCTTCCATGGATGGATGTTTCTTGGACTCTTGCCCCAGTCTGAGGTAATTCATCAGAAGGACAGAAACGAGTTTTGGAACTTTTCACTTGTAGCTGACCAGCAGACTACACTTAGACTTCGTTTACGTTCGCTACACGTTTTCCTTGAGATAAGGCAACGGTATTAAAATGTGCTGCAAGCATTGTATTTGACAACCACATGAGTGCTGTATTCTCATATTTTGAACTGTTTTACCTTTATGACACTTGAGTTTCTTATTGTAAGTTTCATTAGAACTTGTATGAGACCAAGCATTGCCCCGTGCAGAGTGAGAAAAAGGCTGGAAGCCAATTGTCAAGCAAACAGCGGGGCCTACAGATGCGCTTTCTTGCCGCTTTCGTCCTGTCGGTGACTATAGTCACGGTCAATGTGCTCTGGTAAAAAGAAAGTGTTTTTTAATTTGAATTTTTTAACTCGTGGAACCACTTTGCAGATGCCATCTGTCAAAAATGGTCCGTGGACAGGGTTCAAGCCCAGGCAATCATTGGGAGGTGGCTGCCCGGCTCAGTGGATCGAGGAGGGGGCAGGAGAAGGAGATTTGAGGCAGCCCTTGTCTCTGACCTGCCTCTGGTCCAGCCCCTGCCCCTGGTCCAGACCCCTCCTCAGTTCATTCCTGAGCCTGCACACTAAGATTGCTGCCTGGACCCCTGCCAAGCCCACCCAAGCAGATGCTAGTGTGGTCAATAAAGTCTACAATTTTCTGAAGGTTCTGAACTGTTCATATTTGCATGCCATATAAAATTGCACGGGACAAAGTACTTAGTTTTCTCTGTAGGCTTTCTTTTGGATAAGTGCTCTGTGTTACTGAATGGCTGGCTAAACAATTGCAGTCAATATTTGAATAGTCTATGGACAACAATGGGTGCCTGATCTAAAACAGCCAATGTACAGCCTCCAGATCTTTTAACAACATCGCGCGAACGCCGACCAGCTGGTAGATCACCGCCTTATTGCTGCGCGAATGAGTATAGGTCAACAAGACTAGGCGCATGCCACAGAAGGCTCTCCTAGCCTCGCTGACTTGCTGTTTTACGATGCGATAAAGCGCTGATCTACCGGCCGGTCGACGTTCGCGCGATATGTTAAAAAGAATTCTGGAGGTTTTACGAGAACGGCTGCCAGCATTGGAATAGCCAATGTGTATGATTGGCTGCCAATATTAGGTTAGCCAATGTATATGAATGGAAGCCAATATTGGATGAGCCAGTGGTAAAGGTTGGATGCCAATAATGGTTGAAAAACGGTCAGCCAATAGTGGGCCATGTTGGCTATGCCGTTGGCTAAATCATGGCCCATCTTGGCACAGAACGATGGTCCAACATTGGATCGGGTAGCGCTTTCGAAAAAAACCAACGTCGGACCAAGATTTGTGCCAGGTTTCGCCAATGATGAGCCAATGTAGGTCCCACATTGGTGTGCTGCCTGGGATTCCTTGCCAAATTTCGTTAAAAGGCAAATTGGACAAAGTCTGGACTGAAAATATCCGCTTTGCACAAACCATACTTTGCCATATCTTGTTCAAAAGAAAATCGGATCAGATGCCTGATGCCGAAGATTTTCATGCGTATGGTTGAAATATCAAGTTGCAAACAAACCATCCCGATACCGTACGGGCTGCGTCGATCACAGCTCAGACCGCAGAAGACAGCGAACTGATACGCGGTGCTAAAAAAGTAACATCTAGGCGATTTTTGCGCAAGTCATCGCCATCTAATTCCATCTAGCCTTTTCTATGCACTCTGTAATACTTGTTCATTATTATGCTTAAACTACGTTTTGTTATTTTGAATTATTTTTCTAAAAAATTGCTTGATAACTGTCAAATAACCTTTTTCACATAATTTTCTCCACATAACCACAAACGAAAACAAGAACTAATTTGATGCCACAGCTAGATGTACACACAATCGGAAAGTGTCATTTTAGTATCTTTGAGAGCTTTCCTGCGGTTTCCTTGTTTATGCCTGCATGTTCAACATTTTATTATGGTGCACATGCAGGCAATTTCAAGGGCTTTCATCAATACAGGTACGCAAAGCAGGGACTCGAACCGTAACCGTAACCGAAACTGAAAACCATTTAGGAACAAAAATTTCCAGTAACCATAATCGGAACAAAATTGTTATTTGAAATTTACAAAAAAACTACCTAACCGTAACCGTAACCGTAAAGTATTTACAGGTAACCGGTTTTAACTAATATTAGCCGAAAAAAAAAAAGTTTTTCTCACGTATGACCTGGAGGAGGGATCATGAAATATCGTGGCAATTTGAGAGAGTTACTTTCAGCGAGTGGTGCATCTGGTAATATATTTCCGTTCAATCTAACTTTAGGATTAAGGATACTTAGTTGAAATCAGTGGTCGTGCTTATAATAAAAAAGTCTTTTTTTCTAAATCTGTCACACTCCTACATCGCTACATGTATCAGTGTGTGTCGCCTTCAGTGTAATAACTAATAAGTTAGAATTCTCATATGTCCATCCAATTCGGTTCTATCAAAACCACCGATGTTCCTGACATGCAGTAGCCAGTATGAAGAAACGATGTAAATTGACCGTCATGCAGAGCTGGCGGAAAAGAAAACCTGGTATTAATTTAGTCTGCAACGTGCCGCTATTGACAATTTTGTAACAGCACAGAAAGAAACAAAAATGTGAGAGGTTTGACATTGGTGTTAAGTGTATGTTTCATATTAACGTGATCCAGAATTTATGTGAACAGAAAACAATCACAAAATTAAAAGTATTTTGTGAAGTGAAAGCTAATATATCCGTTGATGGCCAGTATTTAAATGGAAGTTCAGTGACTGGCCGGCATCGGCGCTTTGCTGTTCAAACTGGCGAGCCCCGTCATGGAAGATCCGTTTACTGACCGGCATTGTTTTATTTATTTTTTTTTGAATTTTTCATTATGCAGTCAGGACATTGAGATTCTGGCGAACTGCGGCAATTCATGAATAGCGAGTGGAAATGTTTGTTTTGATCAATCCTTCCTAAATGACGACCGACGCTAGGGTATTTTATCCCAGCGTGGCAAGTCTGACTTGTTTTATCGCGAAAACGTAAGAAAAAACAATGCGGTGAAGAAAATTTGCTGCCCAGAATTTGAGAATATGACTGCCTATGCCACGAAGAATAAATTTCACAACGCCGAGCATTACTTTTTTCAGGAAGCTAGTTTAATTTAATGTACTATACTTAAAGTCCAGTGGTATACACACGTGTTTGGCTCTGATAAAAAATAAAAATGGTATAACGGAGCGAAAAAATGAAAAAAAAAAAAAAAACCTGACATTATTGAGCACGCGCTCTCAGTTACAAAAACAATAATAAACATTACTTTTCCGAGACTAGAAAAGTAAGAGCTGTGTTGACGCTACGAAATTGAGTGTGAAAATATGTTATTTCAGGCAGGAATCAACTGTTTTCTGTGGTAGTTACGATTATCTAATTCTAACAGAAATATTTCAAATGTTCCCATAGCCAAACGATATCTGTCTCTTTGATAGCTTATGTTATACGACATACCGTATCAGAGGAACGCGAATATAAAAACTTTTTTTAACGCAAAAAAGCGAGAAGCACCACTGCGTTGTGGATGTTCACACTGCCGGGTTTGTGAACGTGATCCCTTGACGCTACGAAAAATAATTGTTACAACGCCGAACAATACCATTTCTGATAGCTAGTTTAATTATCCGTGCTGTACTTGAATCTCAGGAATAAAAACGTGTCTAGGCCTAATAAAAAAGTAAAACTGCGGAGCGCAACCTGTATAAATAAAACCTGGCGGCACGCGGGGGATAGCACTGACCTACCAGAACAAATTAAATACTACTTTCCGGAAGTAAGAATATTAAGAGATGTGCTTAATCCGTAGCGCGCTATGAGCTCAACTAAGTTACAGCCTTAAAATGGCGGTATTTTTTATTCAATAGTGGGTGAAGATGGCCGCTTTCAGAAAAACTTTAACTGCATTACTGTGGCAGTTTTGCCACTTACACATTTTCCCATTTTGCTTGCAATATGCTCATTATTATTGCATTGCTTTCTTCTTTGAAAGGACTTGTGCTGTTTGCCTACGGTTATGAATTATCCCGGCAAAACAAGAGGGCCACGGTTTGTGCATTGCAACGGTTCAAACTTTGGGTCGCTCTTTTTTTTTTTTTCACCTTCTACGTGATTATTACCTTAAAGAACGGTGCCAACGACTGCAAAAGCATAGAAAATATTTATAATCATAAAAACTAATACAAAAACGTGGGGAAAATATCTAAAATATTAAAAACTACTACAAAAAGGCGAGAAAAAAATATTTAAAATAATAAAAACTACTACAAAAAGGCGAAAAAAAATATTTAAAATAATAAAAATAATACAAAAAGGCGGGAAAAATATTAAAAATAATAAAGACTAATACAAAAGGTAAAAAAAATACTTAAAATAATAAAAACTAACACAAAGTACGCGGCTTGACTAAGATTCGAACCAACGACCGCACGCTCAGGAGGACAGAGCGTTAACACACTACGCTTCAGGCGCCGAGTTAAGCTCGTAGGTTTTCTAGAAGTATACATGTTTGTTAAATTCGTTTCGAAACGGGTACACCTAGTTTCATCGTAAACCGGAGACACGGAAAAATAAAAAAACGGACAAAACAACAACAAGTCTCAATTGAGACTTGTTGTTTTGTCCGTTTTTTTATTTTTCCGTGTCTCCGGTTTACGATGGAAGTTCTTCACCAGCTCGCCTGTGCTTTTACCCTTTCTTCGTTACACCTAGTTTCGTATTTAATATTTTGCAAAGTGTTCAGGAATTATTCATAATATTATGGCAATATTGACGTGCGCAATAATTTATTATTACTGTGTTTTTTGTAAGTTTTATAATGTGGTTTGCTTATGCTTTCTTCTTAAACGTTTTGAAGATACGAAAACAATCAATCGAATCCAACAGCCTATGTTTCGCACGGTTTGCCGGGCGTATCGGCCGTGTGCGTTTGAACAGTTTGAATGCCTGCGATCACGACCGGGTAACGGTTAAATTTTCCCCAATAGTCGTGATCCGTGGAGTAGGCCTTAGTTTCAAACGTGTCGGAAAAAGACGGAAGCGACTGTGAGACGTGGAACTACGTCAAATCAGCTCAACAGCCAAGATCGTGGCACGGGATCCGAAGTAAGTTTGTTTCTTTGATCGTTAGAGCTAGCTTATTTCCTGCGTTCAGAAGGCTTGTTATTGTCTGTAGATTGCTTGCTTTTACCAGTATTATTAATTGTGCGCAAATGGTGTTACGCGAGGCTGTTTTTCTTCTTTTTTCCCCGATGCAGAGACTGAACTCGCTCAAGGTCCATCAGTAGTGGCGGAACTCTTTAGGAGACGGAAAGTAGGGGGGTGGGGGTCAAAGGCGGAAGAGGATGGGGGAGGGGGGTGTTGATTGCCTCCGTCTGCCGTATTGTTTGCTGGTAAACTAGAATGTCTGGAAGCCCGCGGTGCGGTGCCCCTCCATTGCCGACACCATTGCGTGCGGAGAAATGGACCCGACAAAAAGCGGCGATTGGTTGATCGAGCAAGCCCGTAGCTTCCACCGTCCAGCCGTCTCCAAACGATTTCATTTTCGCGATTCGTAATCAGAAAAGGATTGCCAAAATTGGTGCCGTAATGAATTCACCCCATGGTTATTATAGCATAGCATACCACTTTCGATC